TGCAAGGCCTAATATCCATAAACATGTTAATATATTCTCATCTATATATATATATATATATATATATATAAATGATAGAGGTTTGTAGTTGTGCGCGCATCACGGAGAAACTACTGGATAAATTTCAATTGGGTTTCCTAAATTTTATTTCTTAGACACTTGACCCTTATCTAAAAAAAATGCGATATCATCATTTAATATAAAGTTATTAAAATTTTAAGAAAACAACGATTTTTATACGGGGTTTTACACACAGTCAACTGTATGTCGCTTGCTCTAGTGTTACTAACCCAGATAATGTATATATTTTAGCTACAAAGGGAGCAACGAATAAAATTGTTTACAAAGAAATTTTGTAAGCAAAGTATATTTTTGCTTGCGATTTTTTTGATGTTTTTTCCTTTGCACGTACGAAAACTTTGTTAACATATCAAGCAACGTGGACGAAGTCGCGGGTATCAGCTAGTTGGCCCATAAAACAGTTCATATTATTTCACTAACATTATTATAGAAATTATATTCCTTGTTACAATCTAAGAACTTCTTTGTGTAAGCCACTCAGTTCCTTCAATGAAACCTTACGTGCGTAATAAATCCCAAGTAATCTTGATAATACGGCCAGATATATTGCTTTATATATAAACCACGTAGGTACTATTGTATTACCAATACAATAATATGAAATGGCCTAAATAAAATAATCTCTAGAAATTTCTTGATACTGATGATAATAATAAGGTCAAGTAGGTGTAATTTAATAAATTTAATACTAACAAATTATTGGGGGAGTAAAAATTTAATACATAGACTATATATTATACCTATTATATAAAAATATACATATATTAACATGTATACTAAAGAAAACAATATAAACAATATGCATTATAAGTATGTTTCATGAAAAATTAAGCCTTTTTTAAGTCCACAGCTGGATATTGGTTTTTCCAAGTATATACACCGCTTAATATCATCCCATTGGCATTGTAAGAGATGAAATAAGAAAATAGAAACAGGAGATGTGTGGCAGCATCTTTCTGATAGCAAAACAATAAAAAAAATGGAACTTTTATGTACATGGTAGAGCCGTGCTGCAGCTATATTAATTCTATAATTGTAGCAATAATGGGTCGGCTCGTCTGGGGAAATACCACGCTCTCACAGAATATCAGCGTAAAATAGCAGATTAATGCTGTTGTGTTTTGCATGGTGAGTGTAGAGTACCGGTAAGTGTAAAGTACTGGAGACCCTTTTTAATGGAATATAGGCATTCTATCTTAGTCCTCCCGGCTGACAACGCATCTGCATTTTAATTCCCAAACGAGGATAGATGTAGATGTCTGTAGACTACAGTAATCACTTACCATCAGGTGGACTGGGTGCTCGCTTGTCATTCATATCTTATAAAAAAAAATACAGCTGCTAGCCCGCCTGCTAAACATGGCAACTATGATAAATATTATCCTTCCTAAAAAGCAATCTGTGGATGTGGGAGCCTTATGTTCAGGAGAGGCGGGTGTAATGAATTAATGAAATAATTAATGTGATTTGATGCCAATACTCAGCACACTGGACAAGTGGATTCGTGAGTGCAGAACTCATAGGCATAGTGATGATGCTCCCTATCACCAGTCTGTGGGAACCCTTACCATGTGACTTGACGGATTTATAATAAATCTATTGTCAAAGCCTTATCCTTCAATACTGCACTGGAGTAAGATTGATATTTGTAGGTAAATGGCTAAAAGGTGACTTAGTCTTCAACATTACCATACCCTGTTACATTATTTTATATCAATGATTTTAACAGAATTAAGGATGACAAATGACCACACAGTTCACCTGATGGTAAGTGGATGCTGTGGCTGAAATTGCAGATACATGGTAACCCCAGATTTCAACTTACAAGTAGGTATGTTGCAACTTGCATAGGTACTGATATTTTTCATCTTAGCAATTCACAATTTTAAAATTAACCCTTTAATAGTTTAACTACAAATAAGCTTGGTGATCAATACAACTTTAAAACGTATAGTTACAGTCTCTTAACGTCCCACATCTGATCACACACCTCCTCTCATTTCTCAGAGGGTTTTAGTGCAAAGAAATGTCTGCCATGCTGCTCTAATGTGTGTTGGTGAATGTCACATAATTTCAAAAATAATTAAGACATGCAGGTTTCCTCATTATGTTTTCCTTCACATCCAAGAACACGGTAGCACTTGAAATTGCAACTGACAGTTTTACTTGAGGGGATTGAACCTGGCTTGCTTGCATACTATTGTTACATTCACATTGAGGTGTATTAAAATAAAAAATTAAAAAAAAAAAACTTTCCTTTCTGAGATATATCTCTGAAACCCACAAGACAACTATTTATACAAACAATACCAACATCTCGAATCGCAATGTAGGTAAATACAATATGTACACAGTTTTGAAATAATAATGAAAAGTATTATTTCAATACTAATGTCTTGTGTTTAGGCTGAAAAATCCATAAAAACTACTTTTTATGGTTGAAAAGTATAATTTATCATACTAAGTCTTAATTATTGATCAAAACAAATATTAAGGTTTTGGCTTTCAAAAGGTGTTTCACAGAATTAAAAAAATAATAATCATACCACTGTTTTATATAAGTACTTTCTCTTTCTTTTCCTATAAAATAGCTTTTTACTGTCCTGCCATCTAACGGACATTTTAAAATTCACGGTAAATCTAATGCAACTACTCAACGATAGATGTCACTAAATAATCAACTCAAATTTTGTACATACCAGCGCCATCTAGCGGTGTGTAGCAGAATAAGATCCTCACATGTTCAGCAACAACTCCAAAAGCGACATCTAGTACAAAAACACTGCATCCAAAGCGCACTTTTTTCAAAACACAAAAATGTCTTAAATAAATTGTCTTAAATATTTACATTTTCACCTGCCTAACATTTATGTAGTTTGCACACTTAGCTCTTTAATAAACACTGAACAAAAACATACTTCACATATTTTACACTTGCACATGTGTAGTTGCATCATTTGTGCATCCATCTGAAACAATGAAGAGATAGTCAATTAATATGAAAAAAAGCTTTCTCATGTATTTTATACATTTGACTTAACCACACCAAAATTTAATACTAAACTTCAGTTTATATTTTATTAAAAGTAAATTTTTATTTAAATTATATTATATTTTTAGTATATATAACAGATGGTCACTTTTTAAATCTACAAATTTCTGGAATTTTTTTAACCACAGTTTCATTTCAACATATTCAGTGACATTAACATAAGATATATTCATCAATTAAAAAGTAATAACATCAAGGCCACATACTTCAAAACAATTGTGATTATCATAATATAATATTATGTGATAAGAATAAATTGTAATACAACATGAAAACAAATTCATCTTTATTTAATGCGTGTGTTTTTAAAATTTGGTGCTTGATGTTAGTATCAATTATAGTCTTTAATTCTGAGGCCATATCTTTTAGTAGTGTTATTTATAATCATGTAATGTATACTATAAAATCTACATTATAATGAGCATATTGTATTACTATCTAAGACACTGAAGAGTCAATTATGTAATAAATTACTATTTCTTAAAATGTATTATTATGTAAAAATGTTAATGTTTACTGTGCAACTTGGTGTGTAGCAGTAAATGAAAGAATTTGTTTCTAGTGCAATAAATTCTTGTTTATTGTTAAGATTCAGATAAGTTATAATAATTAAAAAATAGAAACTTAAAAGAATAATAAAAAGAAGCAAAATTATTTTTTTCTATAAATTTTATAATATACCGTTGGTACAATATCTGGTTTGCTTTAAGAGCATTTTCTTGATTATTACCTTTTTTAAGTCATTCTAAAATAATGTAAATACTGTATCAAATTAAATAACACTACTGGTATACTAATTTGAACAAATTATCATTGAAACAATTTGTTTTGTTTTCTTCATAAATAAATATAGTATAAATTTACTCTGATTAATTATGCAACTTCTGTTTAAATAATAGGTCATTTTATTTCAAATGCGTCATACTTGTAACAAAATGCGAGTTAAAGGAAAATATGCATAGTGACCTTTCTGGAATGTCGTGCATTTGTATACAATTTTATACTGTAAACTGCAAGTGAATTGTGATTTAAAGAATTAATTACGTACCACTGACACTTCATCCTTCGAAGCTCTAATCCAGGTTAAAATATGCATCGCAATTATTCTCTCAAAAATAACCAAAGAAAAATCTTCCAACTCAACTTAACACTCGTTTTTGAACCCAGATTAAACACGAGAATCAAAAAAACTATAGCCTTAAACTGAAGTACATGAACATTAAAGGGTTCCTTTGTATTAAGACATATTTTTGAGGTAATTTTATGGCTGAAACTTTATGAAACACACTGAAAAATGCAAGCACGTGCACTTTAAAGTGCACTTCTAAAAAAACATCCAGAATATAATGTTTCAACTCGGGCTATGTTTCGGCACCTCGTAATAAAGGGCAACACGAATAAATAAACTAATATTCTCAATTTTTAACTATTAAGATTATAACCAATTCGAATTACAGCGGCTGAAAAAACTACACAAAGAAAACATATGATCGATCGAAATTGAATTGAAGTGCACATGGATTTGTCTATGGTAATCTTCCGTCATTGTAAGAGAAATGAATGAACGGCGGAAGAGAATGAAAAGACAAAAAATTTATGGGCATCGTTGATTAACGTAGTGGTTCCTTAAATTTTATTTTTTAATTGTGAGTTACAAATAACTAATAATTAGGTTTTATCATCTTATTTTATTTATAAATATTTACTCACCAAATCGCCAATAGGTTATACACATTATTAAAATTATTTATTTATACAAATAAGTTTCGATGGCAATTTTTACTCGTCATGTTGATTTTAAAGACTGGAAAATAAAATAAAATGATTAGTAATAAAGAAAGATAACATTTCATACTAACCCTAAATATTAACGTACCGGTTCGTTCTCTACCCACAAACTTTCAAACTCCTTTTCAAATTTACTTAGGATATTTGGATGAGATGTTACTATAACACTTTCATGATTCGAAACCATAGCTTGGGTAGACCAGTTTAATGAACCAGACATTACAAAACCTTTGGTATTTCTGTTTTTAGGTGTTTGTTTGACAGAATCTTTTGAAAATTCAGTAGGCACGTTTAATTTTTCCGCGTGTGCTTTCAATAAATATTTTCGCTTGATTGCTTTTGGACCATCCACAATGCAAAATTTGTGATGCATTAATATAGACTTTTTACTCGTTTGAACCTGAATAAAACCTAAAATATATAATCATAATAAATAATATTGATTACTTTATATTCAACTAATATAAAAGTCATTTGCAATGTTACTACTTACTGAATTCTTTTAGCCTTTTGATTTGAGATGGTGCAGTGTAAGCCATGTCACTGTCAACGACTATTCTCACTAAAACATGTTTCTGACCCAGTCTAATAATTTGTTCAGCAATTTCAGTGCTTGTTATTAAATACATACACACATCTAGTGTTTCACGCGCCGATTTAATATACTTTATTAATTTGAAACAGTTTAATTCTCTGCTTTCACATATTGTTATATCTCTGTTAGGTGGGACTCTAATTGTGTGACGAACAACTTCATCTGAGAATAAAATAACATCATTTATTTCACGATTCTTCAAATTTAGAACTTCACTACATGATGTGTCTTCGCTTGCCACTTCAGGTTCAGTCCACTTTTTCGAATTAAAGAAATAATTGCACATTTTTTTTACTACTTGTGAAGCAATGAAGACAGTAGCGGTTGATGCTAAAATTAACTTTGCACTCTTCCAATCCATATTTAAAAGTTGGAATAATGTAGTTTGTTTAAAATATTAATAGTCCACCATGCTGCCCACGCTATTGAAAGTTATGTTGTTTTACTGTGTACAAAATTATAAACTACCCACAAAAATATTACGAAAATAAATAATGATGGTACTTAAATAAAAAATACATAAAGAAATAACAAGAAAAAATTCTTCCACCGAAATTATTGTAAGCAAAATTCTAGATATAATAGTACAATGGAGAAAATTACCATTAAACTTTAAAAGTTCATTATCAGATTTAGATTTAGAAAACAACTAATATTTATTACATAATAATAAGTAAAAATCAATAAAAACGTTCTCAAATATAGAAATAGTAGTGAGTGAAAACATGCTAGAGTTTAATTTTAGTATTCATTTTACACAATAATATTATAAATATATTTAATTTAAGTACATAACATTTTAATAGGTGAAATGAGCTATGAAAAGCGGGGGCATACTTCCAATAATTCTGCCAAGTTTTACTGATTAAAAAAAATATAATTAGTAGTTTCTGTGAAACCGCAGTTTACGTTAACATCGGCACAATCTAACAGCGGTAATATATGTTAATAAATTACTAAATAATACAAATTATAAGCTGTGAGGCATTTGATCTTAGGCGTTAAAGGTGGCAATACATCTGTAGCCTTCTTTGTTTTAAGTTGGCTGTAGGATTCCATGGACAGGAGTAGCCAGTTACCATCAGGTGAACTGTAACTTCATTTGTCACTTCATTTTTATTAAATTATATAAATAAATAAATGTCAATGTTTATAGATATTTGAATAGTAAATGAAACCGTGTAGTAGCGGCTTAAGAATATCCAGCACCCCACGTGATCCACGGGTATCGTAAGAGACTAAGAGATGACAGAACAAAATAAAGCAGTCGATGCATAGCAGCATATTCCTGATAACAACTTAAAATAATAAGTACCGCGGTTGCCAATCGACCTATCAAGCGTGGTAACTATGGAAAATATCTCCCTATGCGGCAATCAATGGGGGAGGTCTATGTTCATCAGTGGAATTCTGACAGGCTGTTATGATGATCAAGTTAATAGTAAAAAATATTACGATTACAGTGTAATAACAGGCATTTGACAACAGTCTGTTGTTGTGTTACATTATTACTCAATTCAAATAGTTTTTACCAGTTGTCATAACAGTATTGCTTCGGTCAAAACATATTATGTTAGATTGATAGGAGGATCTTAAATATAATAATTTAAAATTTTGTACAAACGACTTCAATATAAATAATTTTTTTGGCATTGATCAAATTTATATGGGACCACATGAGATGGACCAGCTTTCAAATAAAAAGATATTAATTGAAATCGGTTCACCCAAAAAAAAAGTTATGAGGTAACCAGGGGCGTAGCTACCGCCGTATCAGCCGTATCAATGATACGGGGCCCCCAAGCTACAGGGCCCCGAACGTGTATATACGTGTAAGGGAAAATTGTAAGGACTTCTATAGGGCAGGAAAGGCTATCAGACTTGTCACAATTGTGTATTGAGGCAGAAAATTTAGAAAAACTGAAATCGTCTTGAGCTATGAATGATATAATATAATATATTGAATATTTGTAAAATAGTATATATTTGATTTGAATTGTTTGGCTAGTTTATTTCCTAGGAGTATTAATTGTAAGTAATAAGTTATAACCAATATATAATTATTTAATTCAATGCGAGCGTTTTTGTTCTTTTTGTGAAAAATCTTCATTCTTGATTCGGGCCCCCTAATAAATTTTGATACAGGGCCCGCCTAAGGCACGCTACGCCACTGGAGCTAACACACAAATAAAAAACATACAGTCGAATTGAGTACCTATTCCTTTTTGAATTCGGTAGAAAATAACTAAAAATTCCGGTTTAGTACAATATTATGACACCTTTTAGAAATTTTTTAAACATTGTTAGTGAAGAGGAGAGAAGGAGAGACTGCTAAAGGATGTTCCAAGATTTTATGAAATCTTTCTGTACTATGAAGGTATGAAGGATAATTATACATTGTAACTTCAGGCTAGAACCCAGAGCCGTAAAGCAAGTTAATAACAAAAATAGGTTTTGTTTTGTGCAGTGTTGCCAACCGTACGATTTAAATCGTATTCATACGATCTTTTTGGCCCTAGTACGATGTACGATCATGTATTCGAAATCGTACGCAAAATATACGATCTTTTCAAATCTTACAATCTTTATAACAAAATAAAAATGTCAATTGATTAAGTTCATTTTACTCTAGAGCTCTAAACTTCTTCTTTGTATTTTTTTATGAACGCATCCAATTCAATAATTTTTAAATTCTATTTCTCGCGCAGTTTAACCGTTTTTCTTCGAGTTTGTTTTACGTCATTCTATTTGTTCTAATCCAAATAATATTACACCACGCAGATAATCATATATTACATATTTTGTAATATACGGTAGAGTGAACTCAGTCCGAGCCCATTTTTTTTTAAACAAAAAAGTCGTAGTAACGTTTAGTGTCAGATTCTTAAAGCGTCTCCCACACAGAAGCGGCTTGCGGTGGCGGCTAACCGCGGGCCGCGGCTGCAGCCGCTGTAACAACACACCACCGCGGCCCAAGTGGCGGCCTGAAGCGCCATTGGCTGTGGTGTCTGTGCTACGATCGGACGTCAGTAAACGTGACAAACCGTGACAAAGTCTTATTATATTCAGCAATATTATCATATATTTTGTTTTTAATAATAATGCTTTTGTGATCACGATGCGAATTATCATAAAGTACTGGATAATTTTGCACTGTTTCTATGAAAATCTCTGAATCTAGCACCATTTTTTGATGCGGTACACGCGGCCAGTTGTATAAATTTACAATTGACCGCGCTGCGGCCACCGACAGACCGCGTACTCGCTAACACACGCGTTGGCAAATGGGGCGGAGCATGCGGCCGCGGCCAGCCGCTATCAGGCCGCGCCATGGCCGCACGAGTTTGCAGACTCACTTACATTGCAAACGAATACAACTGGCCGCCACCGTGGCCGCCACCGCAAGCCGCTTCTGTGTGGGAGACGCTTTAATGTTATATGGTTTTTCCCCAAATTTAAAATTTTGCTTTGACGTTATAATAATATTATTTTTGTATTTTTTTACCATTGTTTTATTGAAATATTGATGCGTACAATCTTTTTTATGAGTTCTTAGCAAAATACGATCTTTTCCAGTTTATGGTACGGTCTCCTAAAAACTAAAGTTGGCAACCCTGGTTTTGTGTAATGTTGTCCTTGTAGTGAGTACAGTATTATTGTAAATAAAATATTTCCTTGACTTTTGGGTGTGTTGTATAATTTTATTAATTTATTGATATACTTATATAATAATCATTAATAAACAAAAATGATAAATTGACATATACCATATATTTCATGACACAGTATGTATCACAGAACACTAATACCCTTAGGGTATGTATAGCTCTATTTTTTAAAATGGTTCTGTGAACAAAGACAAAATGCCGAAAATACAAAATAAAACTGAGAAACCGCGAGAACCTGACGACGATTACGAAGTAGTGTCATTTGAAGAATATTGTGATAAGCCTGCAGATGCAAAAAGTGACTTATTGTCTTTAAATGATAATATTAACTATAGAATTTATTATGAAAGTCTCAAGATGCCCAAAGATGGAAGTGGTTCAGCGGTTGAAGAGATATATGACAGAGAAATAGAAGGTCAAAAGGAAACCTCCTTAAATGGCCAAAAGGATGCCCCATATACAAAATTACCTTTTGCACCTTTTGGGAAGAGTGGCAACAAGTTTCGTGCTTCACTCTTTAGTGGTATCATTCCCAAGCCAAGGAGTGATGGAGAATCTTCAAGAGAGCTAAGGTAAAAATTTAGGACATTATTTGGTACTACCTCCTCATTAATTCTTTTAATTTTTAATAACTAGTTAAAAAAGTACATCCAGAGGCTTAAAATATTGCTTTGTCACTAAATCATCTCTTAAAATGGTAGATATTCACTTGAACTACTAGGAAAAATAGTTTTACTAGATCAAAAATTGCACTAATCAGTTGAGTAGGTATTATGTTAACATGATAGTGAAATGGATCACAAATACCAATTACAAGTTGTCAAAAATATGAAAGCACATACCAAGTAAAACCAGCAATAATAGGTTAAGCTGCTGGGAATGTAAGATGTAGATGTGGGTCATTACGTCATTTTCAAGATACGTAATGAAACCAGTGACTTGGTCGGCATCACCTGTTTCAAAACTAGTGATATTTGTAACTGGCTATTTTTATTCGGCTACTGTGATTGTTTGCATAAATACTACCACCAACTATACTAACTACAACATTACGGTGTAAAAAATTTAGCGCTTAGACTTATTACTTCACATTTAAGTAACAGAATTCAAAAAGTAGTGATTAATGGTAAAGGTTCCTCCAGATCGGTAGTATCAATGGTCGTTCCTCAGGGCTCGATTCTTGACCCATTCCTGTTTTTAATCTATATTAATGACTTACCTTATCTTGTAGGGGACAATCACAATATAGTATTATTTGCTGACGATACCTCTTTAATTTTCAAACTCAAATGACAGTTAATTAATTATAACGATGTAAATAATGCTCTATCGAAATTGGTACATTGGTTTAACGCCAACAATATGCTCTTAAACGGCAATAAGACAAAGTGTTCAATTTACAATACCTAATGTAAAACATTAGAATACCAATGTGCTGTTAAATGGGGAGGAGTTGAATCTTGTGGATGTTTGTGATGTTTGATGATGACCATTTGTGATGTTTGATGATGACCACTGTTTTTCTTGGTATTACTATTGACGCGAAACTTCAATGGGGCCCCCATATATCTAAATTAGCAAGCAGACTTAGTTCTGCAGCATATGCTGTAAGAAAGATTAGAAGCCTCACAGATGTTGAGACAGCTAGATTAGTGTATTTTAGTTACTTTCATAGCGTAATGTCTTATGGAATTTTGCTATGGGGTAATGCGGCTGATATTGAAGCTATTTTTGTTTTGCAAAAGAGAGCCGTACGGGCGATTTATAACCTAAATTGTAAAGAGTCCCTCAGAGAAAAATTTAAAGAAATAAACATATTAACTTTGGCATCGCAATATATTTATGAGAATGTAATGTATGTGCATAAAAACATAAATAGCTTTAACAAGAATAAGGATGTGCATACTTTAAATACTAGGAACAAACATAAGCTTGTAATGCCAGTTACTAGACTCCACAGAATCGGTAATTCATTTATGGGGCAATGTATACACTTTTACAACAAAATCCCAGAACATATTCAAAGTTGGTCAATAAACAAGTTTAAAAGTTTTATTAAAGAAAAACTGTACAAAAAGGGTTATTATAATATCAAGGAATACATGAATGAAAATAACCCCTGGGAATAGTGTGATTGCCATCATGCTGGTTCTATGGAAAATCATTTAAAAATTGTATAAACAAAATTATTGTTAAGTGAAATTATGTTTAAAAAAAAAGTCCCGCTGGGTTTCTTGCTGGTCCTTCTCAGGACTGAGGTATTTTCCGAACCAGTGGTAAATAAAAAATTACTTTCAATAAGTATAATGTAATAATCAATATTGAATAAAAAATTATTCTATTCTATTCTATTCTACAATTACACACGAAACAAAAATAAATTTAATCACTATCTAAGTGTTTGTAGCTATACAGTTAAATCAATGAATTAACTTCCCTTCATACTTTATTTAGGCTTAGGACTGACTGCATTAAATGTATGAGTATTTATGATTGATTTGTGTTTAGACTCAGCTGTCAGAGTGATTGGTAGTCGCATGTGTTTCAGTCATTTTTACAAAATTCAATCGCCTTCACATCCTCCAGTGAAATTGTCGGAGCATCAAGAACAAGAAATCTGAACTAATTAATTTGATAAATACTCATAACCTCTCAGTCATTGCTATTGCGGAAACCTGGCTAAGACCTGCTTTTAGATTCAGAATCCCTGGTTTTTCGTGCATCCGTGACAACCGCAGCGATGGCTACGGCGGCACTATGATTCTTCTAAATAGAAATCTTACCTCTTGCTCAATTCCCCTTCCACCTCTGCAAGAGAATATTAATACAACAGCTGTAAAAGTAATGTACATCACAATTGTGTCAATATATATTTCCAACCCTATTCCTGCCTGTATCCCAGTGCTTAACTTAATCCTGTCTAGCATATCTCCTCCTTTTATTGTAATCGGGGACTTCAATAGTCACAACATACTGTGGGGTTCTCATAAAAAAGTATTCTTTTTCCTATCTTTTAATAGACATCTTTAATGAGTTAAACCTTTGCATTTTGAATAATGGGTCTCCCACCCGCATGGTCTACCCTTCCCAAAGTCATAATTCTGTTGTAGATCTATCCCTCTGCTCTGCTAATCTGCAAGTATCAATTGGAGCACTCTATCGTTCACCTTTGGTAGTGACCACTTCCCTATCCTTTTGTCTTTGTCTAATAGAAACCTTCCCACTAGGAATAAATCATGCATCAAGTTTAATGTGTCCAAAGCCAACTGGGATGTATATCTTTCTGATATAGAAACTAAAGCTCATTCTCTCCCTCCAGTGTCTCACATTAACTTGCAACATGCCTACTCTGATTTTATCAGCCTTCTGAATGAATCTGCTACAAAATCTATTCCCCTTAAAAATAGCTCCCTTAACCTAATTTCCTCACCTCCTTGGTGGGACGCAGAATGCTCTTCTATTGTTAAAAAACGCAAAGATGCTGAACAACAGTACTCTGCAAATATGTCCATGGAAAACTTTATAAATTATAAAAAAATAGCCGCTCAAGCCAAAAAACATTCTCGGAGAAGAAGAAAAAAGCATGGCTTTTATTCTGTGAGAGTCTGTCACCTCGCTCTCCAGCCTCCCATGTTTGGAAAAACATAAAGCGATTTCGTGGTTCTCTCAATGATAGCCAAATAAATAACCCTGACCCCTCACTTTGAATAAACAACTTCTGTAGCAGCTTGTCTCCTCCATGGGTCCCTGACTTAGAGGAGATATTCCCAGTGACCTCCCCATCCTCCCATCTTTCGTATTAATCTATGAATGACACCTTCTCCCTCATAGAGCTTCAGTTGGTGTTAATCCATCTGAAGGACTCCTCTCCAGGTATCGATGGGATCCCTTACTCTCTTTTAACTCACATGGGCCCCACATCTAAAAATTATTTCCTAGACATAATCAACTGTATATATTCAACAGGAGCAGTTCCTGACTGGAAAACCCATATTATAATTCCTATCCTTAAAACTGGAAAAGACCCCTCTACAGCCACTAGCTACCGTCCAATAGCCATTTCATCCACTCTATCAAAGATAATGGAGCACCTTGTCAAAAACCGCCTAGAGTGGTTACTAGAAATTAGAGGCATCTTGCCTAAAATCCAGTTTGGTTTTAGAAAGGGTTTGAGTACCTTTGACAGTCTCAGCCTTTTGATTTCTAATGTCAGACTTGCATTTTCTCAAAACAACTTCCTTGTAGGTGTCTTCTTAGATGTTTGCGCAGCTTATGATAATGTTATACTTCCGATGCTCAGGCATAAGATGAATCAGCTGAGCATTCCTGTGAGGATAACAAACTTTGTGTCTAACCTTTATTCAGGAAGACGTGTTCTAGTGCGCGTAGAGGGTAATTTCATGCCAGAGAGATACAACTGGAAAGGCCTTCCACAAGGCTCTGTTCTAAGTCCCCTTCTGTATAACCTATATACCCATGATCCAGATAGATCCGTAAACTGTCTTTTCAATATACTCCAATATGCTGATGATTTGGCTCTTTTTGTTACTGACCTTTCTTTACCTGATGCCTCTTCTCGATTATCTCGTGCGGTATATTACCTCCAAGAATGGCTCACAGAACATGGTTTATCCATCTCCCCCCAAAAAGTAAAATCGTGATAATTTCGAGACGAAGACTCATTCCAGAAGTGTCAGTCTATATTGGAGACTCATTGATTCCCAATGTGAGCCATGTGAAATTTCTCGGTGTTATGCTAAATAGCAAATTGTCTGGAATTCCCCACATATCCTACATAGCTTCAAAATGCGAAAAAAATCTTAACGTCATTCGCGCTATATCAGTAGCTTGGTGGGGCTCTCATCCTTACTCCCAAAAACTTTTATATAATGCTTTGATAAGAAGCCATTTCGACTATGCTTCCTTTTTGTGGGAACCATGCAATAAGAGTGCGCTTAAAGCTTTGGATCAAATTCAAGTAAGATGCCTTCGCATTATAACAGGAGGAATGAAATCTACCCCCATTAACGCTCTCCAGGTCGAGTGTGGTGAGGGTCCTCTCTCTCTTCGCAGGCAGTACCAATCAGACAAATTCTGGTTCAAAAAGTGTTTTCTTCATAACCATCCACTGTCCCATATACTACACTCACTTCATCAACAAATTTCAATTTCCCCATACTGGCGACATAAAGATGATTTCTTATATTTACGCGAACACTACACATTTTTAAATAAAACTAATTTTACGGATTTTATCGCGTATATTAACGGGAATCTAAAAATCGGGAATATAATAATTAATTATTTTTATATTCCCGACATTTCGGGTGCTTTCCAGCACCCGTGATCACTTTATTTTTTTAACTACTCTGTTTTCTGCCTTTTAAATGAAAATGCATTTTGTTTGTTCTTTCTGACTGAAATCTAAAATTTATGCTTTTACTTTTATAGCTTTTTTTTTGCTAGATAAAGTAACAAATTGAATTTCTGAATTTTATCAATTCTTGAAATCTGTGGCACTACTCCGGAGGCGTGGATCAGAAGTGCGGTGGTCTTGTTCTTCAAGAAAGGC